AAGCCAATAGAATAGACTCTCTTGAATAAAGTCTAATTCTATTGGCTTTCAAAAGCCAATAGGAATTGTCCAGGCTGTCTTTGCCCTGCTGAGCCCGCCAAAAGTCCCAGTCTGTAAATGGTGCTGCAAGTTGTCTGCAGCTAAGGCGAGCTTTCTGGACGTTTCCACCCCTCCCTGCTGAGCAACTACTAAATGTAAGTAAAAGAGGGCCAGGGGTGGGAGGTGGGAGGCCGGCGGGCGCAGGGAGGGTTGCTGGCGCGCGTGGGGTCCAGCGGGTGCCTTACCTCCCTTGGGCTGGGCCAGCTGGTGGCCCAGCCGATGGTCGCCCTGCGCCCTCACTGCCGCATGCCATGGCCGCCCAGGAGCGCCTGGGCCTGCCTGCCGCCGCACTGAACGTGCGGTGGCCAAGGTAAGGCTAGCGGAGCAGCGGCGGGCGCAGGGAGGGTTGCTGGTGCGTGTGGGGCCCGGCGGGTGCCTTACCTCCCTTGGGCTGGGCTAGCTGGTGGCCCAGCCAGTGGTTGGCCTGCGCCGTCGGTGCCGCTTGCGAGCTACGCCTCGGCCGGCGCATGGGGCGGCACCACACATGCGTGGTGCTCCCGGGCTGAGGCGGTTGCTGGGAGATGGCCTGTGTCCACCCTCGGCCTGCCCAGCGTGCGCTCCAGCCGCAGGAGAGGAGGCGGAGCGTGCGCGCCTCCTCCTGCCCCACCCGCAGGGGAGCGGAGGGCGCAGGGAGGGTTGCTGGCGCACGTGGGGCCCGGCGGGTGCCCTACCTCCCTTGGGCTGGGCCAGCTGGTGGTCCAGCCGGTGGTTGGCCTGCGCTGTCGCTGCCACTTGCCAGCTACACCTCGGCCGGCGCAGGGGGCAGCACCACACATGTGCGGCGCTCCCGGGCCGAGGCGGTTGCTGGGCAACGGCCTGCATCCACCCTTAGCCTGCCCAGCGTGTGCTCCAGCCGCAGGAGAGGAGGCTGAGGGTGCGCGCCTCCTCCTGCCCCACCCGCAGGGAAATACAGGTAGTCCTCGACTTACGACCACATGGTTTGGGGTCGCGGCATTAGGAAGGTTGAGAACCACCAATTTTGGAAAAATGAGAATCTACCAACTGACCAGGTATAATTACTAAAATCTTAGAGTGTGCAGAAATGGATAGATTAACAGTGGAGATGAAAGAAAAAGATGACTCAGTTTATTTTATAACTTGGGAAAATTTTTATCAATGGTTAGAGACACATTAGAATCTGAAAAGGACTTAATATTTTAGAATAGATGGTTGATTTTTAACTGAGTTTTAATTAATAGGTTGATGACATTTTTATTTTTAGTGATTTAGTGATTTTTATCTATAAATCTTGATAGTCAGGACTTTTTGAGATTTTATTATTCGTGTTTATTTAAACAGATGAATTTATTTGTTTATTAATCGTTAGTAATATGGCTATAGTTATGCTTATTTTAAAAATGGTTGAGTATGATATTTACTCATTATTATGATCCGGACAGTAGCTTGTTTGTTAAAATATGTGATTGTATCTATCCTGAGTGGCTGTGGCTGCCGGCGCCTCGGCATAGTCAGCTGACTCCATCGCTGACTATAGGGGGCGAAATTTTGGCCCCCTCAGAGAAGGCCCGCAACTTGGGAGTCCTCCTGGATCCACGGCTGACATTGGAAGACCATCTGTCGGCCGTGACCAGGGGGGCGTTTTATCAGGTCCGCCTGATTCACCAGTTGCGACC